TGTGGGCGTTCACTGAGGAGGTCAGACTAAACAGGCAGTGATGCATTTTATACTTATGTCACTCTTGGGAGAAAAAATGAAATTAAACACACACAGGACACTGAGGAAGAACAAACAACTTATTGTGTGGAAAGCAGCAGTGCTTTGGAAGGGCCAATGCAACTATCTGGTTTTTAAATTCATCATTGATTTGAGAGATGGAAGATCTGTTATAGCACAGATTTGTTTGAGAAACATCTCTTCATAAGGCTCAAAGGTCTCCAAATCACTTTGTTTACTCATTTATCTGCCTGTAACCATGTAACACTGTGCCTTCTAGTAGATAAATTACCATATTCGTTAAAAGTAAGCCAATGGGAATTCAGGGGAAGGGGAAAATTAATTTTAAGGAGAAATTTCACCAATAAGGGTGCTGTGTGGCTCCAAGCCTCTCACTGTACATCCAGTCATCCTAGACTGGCTCAAACATAAAGGAAGCTTTTTTATGGAAGGACCAGACACAAGGGAGAAGCCCACCTAGGTAGGAGAGTGTCCCTAGGAGCAATTGCAAATACCAACTCTCTTCAACCAGGTATGAACTTGCAATTTCCAGTGTGCCACTGCCCTCCTCCAGCAGCTGTTCCTTCACTTCAGGGGCACACAGTGGACAAACCCTCTCCTGGCTGCACCAGTACCTCACAGATGCTGCACATCCATGGCACCAGCCTCCCCACACACAGGGAAAGGAGAGGGGCAGAAGTAAAGGGCTTCCCTTTTAAAGTACTTGGGGTATTCAGATTATATAGTAATGCAAAATATTTTTATATCATCCCAGGACATTTTTGTTTATACTGCCGAGTGCTATTTTATTTGTTCCAGCTTTGCCACAGATGCAAAAATTCTGTGAAAAGAGAAAGAATGTCTGCTCTCTATGGTGGCTTTTAAAAAATCAGAAGAGCAAGTAAAATCCATTTCTTAAGCAAACATTCCATTAAAAAAAATCACTATATGCTTATAGAAAACAAAGATTTAATTTTAAAAAGTTAGTATCTAGGTATTCCAGAAGGTTTGAGTCATCCACAGTAATAATTAGGGGGTTTGTTCCATACAAAATGCTTTATTTAACCTTCATGCCTCCATTCAGATAATTGTACAAATGCATACATTTAAAGGTTTAAACTCTATTTCAATTCACAGCTCAATTCATAGGAAAGTTGAATACAGAAAAGCAATGCACCAACAAAATATGTCTGAGACACCATTTAAAACGATAACACTTGTTCATTTAAATCTTTGAGAATAGAGTGGAATAATCATCCTCTGACAGAATTTCATTAGGGGACTCCCTTTACATTATCATAGGGCAAAAATCACCTTTTTACAGTAAGAGGAAAAAAAGCTCTGAGTATATTTACAATACATACACTATACATAAATACAAGAACAACACTTACATAATATTAATAAACTTATAACATAGGCATTGCCTAAACACTACATAGTATATAAATGCAGAGGAAACTATTGGGAAATTAGATCTTCAGAAGTTTACTTTAAGTTTTGAAGAAAAGTAATTTTTGTATTTAAAAGCTTTTGAAAAGAAGGCAAAAGAAAGTCTAAAAAACTAATAGGTTTGCCTGCTAGCACTGGTATTTTTATTCCTTTTAAATGTAGGAGCTCTATTGACACTACTATCTCTATGGGGTTACCGATAATGGCCCTCCCTTTCGCATCTTATCTAGGAAAAAGATTGAGGTGCTGTACACTCTAATTCCATTGCTGTGAAGCTTCAGTCCCAAATGAACCACTTGGTAAACTACGGGATGTTTTTGTATTTTTACACAGGAGGATCAAATGAACACTCATTGGTACATACAACAGTAATGACCTGATTAGAAGGAACAATTTGGGGCCAAATACAATCCCATCCTTAGGTTTTCATTCAAATAACACCGTGGGGGAATTTGCTTCGTCCATAAGTAACTTGGCCAAGAATGATATTTTTCAGTATTGTTGTTTTTTCCTGAACACAGCTGAAAGAACTTTCTGATTTAATGGTATTTTTGACCCCACATGTTGATAGCAGTGTCCAAGTCTCTCTTTCCCTTGATGTGTATGAAATGCATGTGCCTGTGTGTGGGTTGAAGGTCTTAAGGCTGATGGTGCATGAAATTTAAGTAATTCATTACTGTCTCTGTGTATACTCTACAAATGTGCAAATGGGAAATACAACTTTGTAAGGACAGACAGAAGGTCAAGAGAGCATATTGTGTAGGTGTTCAGTGAAGAACTTACATTACCAAGGAAGCCATGTATAGGACAATCAGGAAAGAAATCAACCATGTGGTTTTTTTTTAACATGGAAATGTGGCAGTGAAAAAGTCTGAAACCAGAAATGACAACAACTCTGAATCGTGTAAAATATTAGTTCAGCCATGAAGATTTGGCTCAAGCTGTCTTTCCAAAGCTCTTTTATACCTAGAAAGGCAGGGGGAGGGAGAAGAGTGGTATCTGAACCTGTGTATTTCATGGTTGATGCTTATGACAATCCATCAATGCCATTGCCTATGGTCCCAAATCAGACACTGAATTAATGTTTTTATATGCTGAGGTCACAGCACAGAGCAAGGTTTAGTGAGCCAATGTGTGAACCACCCCTTCTTTTACTTCTGAGAGCATCTTGACTCACTGAAACTTCTGACTCTGAATTGGGAAAGATGTTGCAATTCATTCATATGGACAACAGGATCTCAAGTAATTTTTTGTATTCTTATTTTCGTAATAGCTAAAATTCACATGCCCAGCTTTGTTTCTCTGGAGGACTGAAGAACTCTGTATTGAATAATGCAGAAGTTTTCACAAGTGTAACTATTTCATAATTCAAAGTCAGTGAACACGAGCTGCTATAGAATAATGCTTGCAAAGCAAAAAAAAAAAAAAAAACAAAAAAAAAAACCAAACAAAAAACAAACAAAAAACCAAACCAAACAAAAAAAAAACCCAAAAAAACCCAAACCAAAACAAAAAAACAAACAAACAAAAAACACACACAAAAAACCAAACCAAAATAAAAAACCCCAGACTCAAATAAAACAAAAAAGCCCCAAAAAGTAAAATCAAAACAAAACAGACTAAAAAAAACAAACAAAAAAAAAGAAGAACCCTTACTCAGAGTCTGCTTTTCAGAATGAAGGGGAAAAAACCTGTCTCATTTTGGGATGGTGAAGACAAGGCGCCTTTTCTTGCTGAAGAACTAACACATGCAGGGCTGGAATCAGCCAAACCTTCCAACACAGCAGCTTTCTAAGGGTGGCCCCTCACTGTGTTGTTGCTCCAGAATGGAGAACAGAACACTCCTCTCCAAAAAGGGCTCAGGTACTGGGTAAGAAACTAAATTCCATTGTCCTTTTGATGACACATTCCCTGGTGCTCTCCTGAAATCCCCAGCATGAGTTGTGCTTAATATCTGGAGATAAGCTCAGAACAACCGAATAAGTATATGCATGTTCTGATGGGATTATTTCTGCCAGTGGTTAACATTTCAATTTGCTACTGAATGAGCAACTTTGTCACATAATTAACTCATGTTCATGAATACCTAACTGTTACACGTGTGTCCATGTCCACTTTTTTTTGGGGTGGGGGTTGTTTTTGGACCTGCACTCATGATCATCTGTGCATGAGCCTCAGTGGGACTCTAGCAGCAACCCACTCATGGCAGCAGATGCCTAAACAAAATGCAGGATTTCTCAAATACAAAATTTTGCCTGGATAAATTACAGGTACAAATTCAGAGGACAGAAAGCAATCTTCCTTGGCAAAGGCATCAGGACAACCAGTTACATTTTGATTTCCAATAAATTAATTTTTTAAAATAGAAGAAGCATGAGGGCTGGCATTACACTGCTATTTTAAGAATCCATTAGCAGTAGTTAATATTTACAAAAAAACTGAGAAAAAATAAGAGTGCAAGAGTCACAGCTGGCCGTTTTCTGGTAAGATCAATTAGTCTACTGATGCCAGTGTTTAGGCCACTCAATATAAAAATCTCCATACTTCATTTTAGGAATATCGACTTCTTGTTTGCAATTCAAATAGTCTCTAGACAGACAGTCCCCAATTTTTCACTCATTTGTCCCCAAAAGAAAGCAAAGTGATATATTTTGTCCACTCATGAAGTCAACCAAGATGATATTAAGTACTATGAGCATTACATGATGAAGAGAAAGGAGACATAAGGTGAACTCTTGTGTTTCCAGAGTTCAATGCAGAGGATTTTTCAAGAGAATCCCTGTTCTTTCATATTCCCTAAAAAAAAGCTCCATTGGGCTTATTGCTGGTTTTGGATTACTTAACTAGAGAATACCCTGGATACATGGGCATAACCAACATAAATTGGGAAGAAATTCCCTAAAACATTGCTCTGACAACGACTTCCAATCACACCTACTGAGAATTGGTACAGCCACAAGTCACTTGTAAACTAAGATTTATTTTCTTCTTACAAATATATGACAGATGTTATCTGAGAAAATAACTAAACCTCTAACACAGTATCTCAACATGTGAACATACAAATGGCACTTTGTGTTTGTTTCTGTGCTGCATTATTGTTCTCCAAGTAAAATTTCATTTTCACCTTACTGTTAACAGAATCCCATTAAGTTATTGCTGTGTAAAAGTATAGGAACATCCCATCAGTTCTAATTACAGGCACTTTCAGTTTCTGTTTCACCTCTAAAATAGATTTCAGGCTATCTCACTGAAGTGTATGTGTATTTTAAATGTCAGAACTGTCCTGCTACAATGGAAATTCTTGACATGTTACTGCACCTAGAAGACTAAACTCCCCTGGAATCAGCAAAAAGCAGCTGCCTATTTCAGCTCTGCAACCTTTAATCAGGATGCACTGTAGTTGGGGAAATACAAGAAGAAATAAAATCATGAGTGTTTGCCATTCCTGTATCTGCAGTTCATTGTAAAATGCCAGAAGGAAAAAAGAAATCACAAACCGACAAACCTTTCATATGGTTTTCATTTTAAGTGTTTTTTTTTTTCCTTTATTCAGTCAAAGACATTGAGCATTGACTTATTTGACACGGAAGGACCCAGTATAACTTTGCTATATCAAACACCATCTGCAAAACAGCAAAGAAGTGGCCACTCCATTTTGCAGAGAAAACACACTCTGATAGAACAATTTACTTCTTGTGTTTTGTGTTTTAGCTTTGCAAGGCATTATCCTAACAGTCTTCTGATGAAAACTGAAGGTAAGGTTTAAAATTGTTTAAAATTTTATTTCATTTCAGCTATTTAACACCCCACGTAAAACTGTGAGTTTGAAAATACTTTTCCATTATCACATGTATTACAGAATATTTTAACTGTTGCAAGTATAGTAAAATACTTTCAAGTTACTTTTTGATTTCTAAAGATGCAGTATCCTTACAGTTACATTTTTATGCCAAAACCTGATTTATTGTGTAGAATTTAAGCCTTTTCAGTGTTCCAGTGGGCATGACTTCATAAGCATACATTACACAGCAACTGCTACGCTATAGCAAAACTGTGAAAATACAACAATTTCTTTGTGCAATTCTCCAGTCACATATCAGATGCAAAGGCATAACACAATAACATGAACTGGTTTCTTAAGGTAGTATGTTCTGTATCAGTGTTTACTTAAAATTCTTTATTTTCTGTCCTTTTTTGTTTGGTTGGGTTTTTTTTCCCTAAATTTTAATTTTAAATAAATTTGTTTATTACCTGCACATGGGTAGAGACACTTGGAAGTGCTGGGAATATGCATGAGTGTAAGGATGAGCATGTGGGAACAGCATGGATTTACTGAATGATCTTAACACTTGACTGCTGTGGAAGACACAGTTTCACACGATGACCTTACCAAACTCAAATTCAAACTAAAAAGTGGGATACTGTTAGTCACACCTACTCTGATTTTGAGGTATCCACCTTCAATAAAGGGGAAAGAGATTTTTTTACATTAAACAGCATTTATTAGAGAATTTATATTTATAAATGGCAACTAGAATACATTTTCAATGTGGTTAATGGAAAACGAGACTTAGGATCACTGTTATTCTCATTATTAAAGGGGAGAAAGGCTGTCCAGCTATTTGTCCATGCTCTGCACTGCAAGTTTACCTGAACATCAACATCACTGATGTAATTTTCAACACTGTTAATTCTGTTATACATTACTTCAGCAAATTATCACATATACAAGTCAGTCTAAATCTATTTAATTAATTATGTAAGCATGAGAGATAATAAGGAATACTGCATCTTCATCCCAAGTAAAAACTGCTGTTGCAATGAGCTAATTTTACAGTGCTGAATATAAGGGGTGCTCAAAAAATAATGACACAATTAAAAATTTTTAAAAGTTTAGTATCAAAGCTGTTTGCTCATTACATTTTCCTAAAATGCTAGCTCCTGAGGTTTCCTGACAAATCCATTTAGAACTTTTGACAATACATGAAATGTGACACTTCATGGCATAATTTCTCTTGCAAGCTGTAACATGCAATGTCACAGCATTGTGGATTGAAATCTCTTGTCTTTCTGAAGGAATGGGGGACACTGTATGTTAGTGAATCCCAACTGCTTAATTAAGATGGTCCTAGTGGATCGTGTCAGGATGAGATCTGGTGTTCCTGCATGCTACACATGATGTAAGCTTTTGCCACAGCCATGAATGTCACCCTGTGGTGGGGTACCAGGATTTTTGAGGAAACTACCCCGGAGCAATTGCCCATGGTCTTTGCATGAGCACAGAAACTTGGCAGGTCTGAACCACAGCCAATAAAGGCAAAGATACACTGAGGATCTGGGGGACATCAGCTCCACATTCAAACATCCTACTGAGTAACTTCTCTTAAAACACTTCTGAAGGGGACAAAAGCCAGAAAACAACCCCATGGAGTAACTGGGATCAAAGCCTGCAGGTGCTGGTATGAATGAGAACGTCATCAAGAACCATACTGTGTACTTGAAACCCCACTGCTGGTTGTGCAAGTCATCTAAGGTAACAGCAGCATGAGAAGCCCTTGCACAGGTGCTGGAGAGGCTGAGGATGTAGTTCCTGCCTGTGCAGTAACAAAATGTAGCACATGCTCCTCTACCTTTTGGCGTCATTCTCCTACCATTGCCACACTCAGTGCCTGTGTCCCTTGGTATTACTGCTGCTTTAACCCTCTATCACTTTGGGGCTCTTTGAACAAAACCAGACCCACTTTCTGTTGCAGTGTTTCCAATTCATATCACAACAGGCAACCAGCTGAAAAACCAGGGATTCACAGAGACCAACCTTTGGCCTTGGGAGAAGAGTCTCTCCAGGGTCTGTTATACATATGCTCTTCCACAGGGCATTTCAAAGCTGAACACTAAAATTAAAGGCCTCTCCACTTCTCTTGTAGTTTCTCTGTCTTCACTGACAACAGCGGAAGCCTAAAGAGGAGCACCGATCTCTCCCAGTTGCACCCTGCAACTGATGTTTGAGAGTAACACCACAACCTCCTGCATGCTAACAGAATGCCCAGTAGGAGTTTCTGCTCAAGCAAACTTAATTTTCTATGAGAGGAAAAAAAAAGCCCCACAGATCCCAAAAGGAATTCTGTATGCCACTGGTTCTTCAACTGAATTACTGCTATTCAAATAATTAGTTGGTAAAATATTCTTGGGCAAGAAAAGAACTTTATCAATGGAATTCTACCTGACCTGACTTCTTTCCCTAAATGACAACAATGACAGATGCATTTAAGGGGATGATACGGAAGTACACAAAATCCAGACCTCAGACACAATCCATGAAGCACCTCACATACAATACTTTGACAACCAGTTTTTTAAATCAACAGTAGCAACGCTGCTAGTAAAGACACAGTTCTGCTGCCCTGCAATGCCTCATGGTCTATCCAGAAGCCCTGCTCTGTCCCTGATTTGGAGATGGATTCTAGAATGTCGTCAAATTTGGTGGAAGTAGATCACCAACATGGTCAATGGGAGTTGACAGAGGCATTTTTCCCACAACAGCTGTGGATAATTTGTGTTGAGTTTCTCTGCTGACCACTTGGCAGTGGGAAGCCTGAGCTTTTTGTAAGTTCTTTCAGAGAGGTAATAAACTATCCATACTGGGGAACAATCAAACTTCTGGATCTTGTGAATGCTGTTATAAGTATAATCCCAGTCATATTAATCCTCAACTAATTGTAATTGCTTTTGTATCTGTATGGGTACTCTGTGTTGTTTTTTCTTAAAGATTACCTTGATTCCAGAATCCCAACATTACTACATTTACTTCAGGAATCTGATATTAACTGAGATGGTCAAACATTTAAAAACAAACAAGTAGCATCACAAATTTAATCTGGAATTCCTGGAACAAAATATTCATAATTAAATGCATTGCAAAAGACCTTTACGTTTACATCTTTCATCTCTAAGCTATGAAAATCTCAACACTTAGAAAATATTGCCAAGCCTCCCCTTTGTCAAATTTAGCTGAATAGGCAGATCCTTGTAAGGAAAGAAAACAGAAAAACACTATTCTGTTAGCATGAATAACTGATGACTAAGAGTTTCTTTCTTTCCTACATAATTCAATTAATACAAATTGGTTTGCAATTACAGGGCTGTATGGGAATGATCAAGAATTTCCTTTTATTTAATCTGAAAAGGCTTGGACTGAGAATCCAAGCAGAGGCAGCCACTGGTACCCATACAGAGGTCCATTTATATCATACTAGACAGCTGGCAAAATCTTGTTATTCCCTAACTCCCAGGGAGAAATCTAATGTCTTGCAGAGCACAACTGTGTATTTCTCTGTCCTACTTACAGTTCATCCACTACCTCCTCAACAGTCAGCTCTTTCCTTTATCTTTCCTGCTTTCCAGACACAAGTATTATGTTAAAGGAAATAAAAGTACTTAATTGTGGCGCCTAGCAGGTCAGTGAAACCAGCAAAAAGATTAATTTAAATGCTTAAATCTTACATGCTGTTTCTGCATACCCCCCACTTCTGTTGGTGTGGAGTAAATTATTGTCACAAGAGCCATTTTATTCATTATTGCTTTTTCTCTGCAAGAGATGCAGCCGTTTCTTCTCTGTTTTGATGATACATTCAATTCCATCTCAGGAATGGCTATACCACTAACCTTGGTACCAGCAAGTACAAGATCTGACTATTTCCTTGGGTTCAAATAATGGTTGTGGGGAAGAGGATACCTGCATGAAAGAAAACAGCACACTGAGAATAGGGTAGTAGTTTTTAGGTGGGCTCTTTCTATACAAATCAGAAAATGGACCTAAATAATTCCATGGTAAAATACAGATACTTAATATGGTATTTCAGCAGAGATGCTGCTGCCCTTTGCTTATTTTACAGACTTCAACAACTACGACGACAAAAGAAAAGAAGGAAAAAAACAATAAAGAAAAAAGTTAAATGGCTGGTGTCCTCTAGGGCATAATGACAAGGTGTGGTATGATATTAAAATGCCACCATCGTTATTGCAAAAGTCTGATCAAGCAAACCTCCAGCTCTGGCAGAGGGATCTCTCCAGCAGAATCTTGTTGCCTACTCACATGGAGCTTGTCTGTAGCACAGCTCCGGTGCAGTGCTGACACCGGTCAGATGGTACTGAAAACAAGGGGAAAAGATGGCATAATACAGATCTAGTGGTCTTGCTCTCATCATCATTATCATCATCATCACTATCATCATCGTCATCATCATCATATTCATCAGTTCATGGTATCTATACTCCAACCAGCAGTGATTTTTCAGGAATAAAATGTCTGGCAGCTGAGAAAACATACAAGTTATAAACATTTTTTGTCAAAGGATGCAGCATGTAAAATAATGCCCATTCCTGTAGCATCTCGGCTGCTATTTCCCAGGTGATTGTGATGACACTTTCAGGGGGTAGCCATGCTGAGGGGCAGATAGAGTTAACTTCAGATGGCGAGGAGAAGAGTGGCACTTCTTTTCCTGCTTTTTTTGAATTTCTGTTACTATTCTTTGTTACAGACATCAGGGAAAGCCCTGCCTGTTAACACTGTAGAGGGGGATTCAGCCCTGCTGAATTCACTGTGGGTAGTTAAGAGACCCAGCTCTTAAACTCGGCTGGAACAGGTAGCATTTCTCAAACCAGCATGTGCCTGCGGCGGTGGAGCGCCAAGTGATCCGAGCGGGAGAAGCTGCGGTCACAGTCTGCACACTTGAATGGCTTCACTCCCGTGTGCTTGCGGTAATGCCTCGTCAGTTCATCGGATCGAGCAAACTTCCAGGTGCAGCCTTCCCAGGTACATTTGTAGGGCTTTTCTCCTGGGAGAAACAAAAGAAAGAGGGGAAGGGGGACAAACAGGTTGTGACTTTCCCCTTGTTGCCATTAATCCCCACAATCCCCCCTGTACGCTTCCCATGAACACGCACTGCCTAGGGGTTGCTTTAGGCCAAATTACACAATTATGAGGTACTGGATCTGCTGAATATAAGGAAAAAAACCTTGAGATTTATCATTCCTGTGGCATTCACATGACTAAGAAAATCAACAGGATTAAGGCAATAATATAGATCCTACCTTGCAGGGGTGATGTGAGTATTAATATCAAGACAGAGGGCTGTGCAATTATTCTCATGATTACCATATAAGTCTACAACTCTCATCTTGTCAGACTACACTTTCTCCCCAAATGACCAGACTACCTGATATTTCTGCAATTCACCATGGGCTGACACAGACCTCCCATTATTCTACGATATTTATGAAGGTTTCTGATTATTTGTGTAAACAGCATTCCAATACATTTCTTAGTAAGCTGGTAAAAATCAACTACAATTTTCCAATGAAACATAAAAATTCAATCTGCAAAACCTCCTCTTTATTTACTGCACTTACTTTCAGTAAAAATAATTTTATGTAAGATGTTACTAGGAATGGTGTACATTTTTAAAGTGTACTTAGCCATGGGATTTGCACAACACTGTTCATAAATATCCATTTACTTTAGTGAGCTCAGACTTGGGCTAATGTAGATTTTTGGAAAATCCCACCATCTTGCTTTATATTTAAGGGTAAGAATGATGGTGTGTCATGTCAGAGGAGAAGATTAATACAGCCAAACTGGATTTTATGCTTGCATAAAGCACAAACTGTTTAAAATCCCATTTTGGCCATGTTTTTAGGCTATACTTCTTTGTGACTTCTATCACTCACCTTCACTGTCTATAGAAATGCTCTTGGCAGTTACCCTGATCCCATAGTTCAGCACAAACCAAAACTGAGGAAAGGAAACTGTGTGAGGTCCGTCTTTTATCTTCCTTTTGTGTGTCTAAAATTTTACTTCCCCTCTGAAACCAGCTAATCACAACCTGGACAACAAAAGGCCATCTCTGCAACAACTGTTTCCTTTGTTAGGCACAATCATTCTTCAGTTATTTATTATCTCATATGAATCATGAGCAGCTTGCAAGGAACTATTTCAATTATATGAACCAGTGACGCAACACTTGCCTTTTCGTAGGCAGCACCTCCCTCCTTGCGTCTCTTCAAAAGTCAATAAATGCTTTGCAGAGAGCCCTTGGTTTCAAAAGAAAATTCCCAAGTAAGAGTATCATCACAAAGTTCAAACAGCCCTGAAAAATCCAGCTGAAATGGCCTCTGTAAGGAAACTGAGTGCTGTACAGACATGTCAGCGAGGTTGTCAGCAACATTTGAGCTCCTTGGGTTGGTACCTTCTGTGCACCATCTGGGCTGTGCTGCAGTTTTGATGTCAGATGGGGGTGGGAAGCAGCTGCTGTGAGGAGAACCCAGCAATCAGGGCTCTGACCACAACCTGTACTTGCACCAGCAGCAGCTCAGCCTAGCTAATTTTGTACCCTCCAACCAAGCACAGAGCACCAAATAGTGCTCATTGCCCCTGGGTGGCCACAGTGTTGGGCATCTCAAATCCAGAAGCTGCTGTGAGCTGGAAAGGCAGGCACAAGCTACATGGCAGATGGTGGGATGCACACTCTTGCCAATGACACAGTGCTACAAAACGCACTCAAATTTGCCACCAAACTGTATTACATAGATATTCTTGCCACAAACAGTTGGTGCAGAGCACTGTACAAATATAGCAGTACCCCCATCCAACTTGGCAGGCTGATTCCAAGGCTCCCATCACACTGCATCAATGTTTTCCAAGTGCAGTGCTTGTCCTGCCCATCCCTCAACACACTTAAACTCTCTTGTTCACCAGATACTACCTCAGTTGGCTTCTTTGGCCACACTTTTAGAAAACAGATATTCCTTAGGCTCTGGATTCTTACTTACAAGCATCTGAAATTCTAAACATCTTCAGGGATGGAGACTCAACTACTTCACTGGACAACCAGGGTCAGGAATTTTTGCGTAATATCCAGTCTAAACTTACCTTGGTGCAACCTTGGTGTAACTGGAGGCCACTTCCTTTTGTCCTATTACTTATTATCTGGGAGAAGAGACTGATGCACATCTTGCAACAACTTCCTTTCAGGTATTTACAGAAAGCAGAAAGATTCCCCTGGCCCTCTCTTTCACCAGGCTAAGTAACCCCACTTCTCTCAGTCATTCTTCCTAAGACTTGTACCCACACCCTTCATCAGCTCCACTGTCTTCTCTGGACACACTCCAGCAGCTCAATGTCCTTCTTTTAGTGAGAAGTACAGAATTCAACACAGGATTTGAGGTGTGGCCTCACCAGTGTCAAGTGCAGGGGGACAATCACTGCCCTGGCCCTGCTGGCCGCACTCTTGCTCATACAGGCCAGGATGCCATTGGCCTTCTCAGCCACTGGGCACTCTGCTGGCTCATCTTCAGCTGGCTGTTGATCAGCATCCCCAGATCCTTTTCTGATGTGCAGCTTTCCAGCCTCTCTTCCCCCAGCCTGTAGTGCTGCCTGGGTATGCTGTGACCCAAGTGCAGGATCCAGCTCTCAGTCTTGTTGACTCTCACACAACTGGCCTCAGCTCATTGATCCAGACTGTCCAGATTCCTCTGCAGAGCTTTCCCACCCTCCAGCAGATCAACACTTCCCAACTTACTAAGGGTGCACTCGATCCCTTTGTCCAGATCGCTAATAATGATATTAAAGATACCCATGAAATCTTTCCCCTTGGTATACAGAATTCTGTATTTTCCTTCCCTCAGCAGAAAACAGAGAACCCAATGCAGAAAGGGATGATTTGCACAAGAAATACCAGAAACAGGTTTTTTTAGTTCATCCATTAAAACAGTATCATTTCAGGTAAGAAATGAAAGTCAGCTGACAGAAGGATATGAGTGTAGATCACTCAGCTGGAGTTCCCACATGTTGCTTCCAGCATCCCTCCTCAGTGAGTGCTGCCTACCCAGCCCTCACGGAGCTATGTGAAAGAGACAGGACTGACAACATTCCTTGCAAGGTATTTACTCCACTGAAGGAGAATCACTCTTACAAGCTCAACCTAAGAGGACCTATCGTTTTCAATTAAAAACAAACATTTAGTGTAAGAAAGAGAAAAACAGCCAAAGTAGTGTTAATGTGAAGACATTCACTCACACACACCTTAAAATGGCCGCTGTAAAGACAACTGTGAAAGATACTATTGTTCATTAAGGTTAGTCAACATTTTACTCAAGTCTAATTTTTAGGGAAAGAATAGTACTACTACTTTTCTCTTAAACAGCTACATTATCTGTGCATGCTCAAGTGCTAGAAAAAGAATTTCTTCATATACTAACTCTTAACCTTTTGTTTGGTATCATCCCAGACATGAAGTCTAACCACTGAGTTTGTCAAAACCAGAAGACCCAAGAGTTCTAATGATGGAGAAAGGACCAGCAGAAGCAGAATTGCTACAAGCTGAGAAGCTCGTGTCAGCTATCCCACACCAGTTTTGCCTGTTGAGAGCTTGAGCATCCATGGCTGAAATCCTCAGTGCAACCAACAGAGAGGAGCTGGGCCTCAGCAGGGCAACCCAGAGAGCAGTGTGTGAGGAGGAGGAGGAGAAAACTGGAAGAACTTAACCACAGTGTGTGTCTGTCTATCTATCTATCTATCTATCTATCTATCTATCTATCTATCTATCTATCTATCTATCTAATCTATCTACCTATCACCTATCTATCTGCATTTCAAGACTGGATTGCAGTGGAGTTGAAATCAAACACTCAACCATTCTGACTCAGACACTTCTGTCTCCATGCGAGCACTTGAGTTTAAGTGTTTAAGAAACTCTTGGGCTTAAAGTAGGGGCACGTTTTGACTCCTCATGCACCCAGACACTCAAATTCTCTTTCACCTTTAAGGAGCAAATGCAGGCTTGTGTGAGTTTTGCCTGGGGTGGTGGAAACACAGGAATGAAGAAGTCAAAACAGTAGACAGTTTTGGGAAATTGGAAGCAAGAAAAGCTGCAAAAAGAGACCAAAAACATGTGGCAATTAGGAAGAGGAGAAAAGGAAAACTGGAAAAAGATAAAATACTGTTAGTTCAACATTCTGAATCTGTGAAGTTTTAAAGAATCTACCAACTTAAAAATAGATGCCTGAAGCTATGAACATTTGCCGACCCTCTAGTTTTGCATGTGCCTTTGCGAGCTCTATTGTTTTGTCCTGAAACCTGACAAAAATATCCCAAAACAGAGAAATTCCGATACTACTCTGCAGCTTTGTCCTGCAATACGTGGACAGTGAACAGTACACCACAAGAGCCATTTACATAGATCAAGCAAGACCCTGGAGCATGAAAAAGTATTTCTAGACAGTTCTCTGAAAGTATTTTCTAATATTTGGGGGAGTTAATTACAAAGTTTTGAAGGGATGAGTCAATACTCCAAATGAGAATAGTCATTTTTCAATCTTCTATTAATACAACATCTATTTCTAAGAGCCCTCCAAAACCATGCCTTTTGTAGTCAAGATGCAACAAACCAAATTAGTTTAATTACTTTTACCATATTATTTTTCCTAACCTACCATGACTCCTTTCACTTAGGCACTTAGGAAGATGGTTACAACTGCTGCTCATTAAATCCTCCAAAACTCCTCAAGTATTGAATTAATAATGCTGAATAACGACCACTGTTCAGCCACTTCAAAATTTTCCACCCTTCACACAGCCCAACATTTGTCTTCCCATATCTTTATTCATGTACCCTGACATCTGGAAGACCATTCACTCAGGGAAATAAATCTCTTGAACTTTTACTTTATAACCTGATGAATTCACATACTCCTTATTAAAAAAACTCTGTGTAGGTTACCAGCCCAAGACAAGCCATGCAATAGACAACAGAACCAGGGTCTGTTTTGTGCCATGCAG